ATCAGCAGACCACACAGGTTAACCGAGCTTTGTGAAACCAAACTGATCTAAACAAAATCATGTGAATTGAAATTAATATTTTTGATCAACGGATATTGAAACTTGTTCTTTCCAGTTGAGCATAAAGAAACCCTCACCACTTTTCTTGCTTTACAAATGTATGATAAATTTTGTATATTGTGGATGACACCTCCTTCTTGAATTACTAAGCTTGAAAATAAGAAAGTCTGATGTTGGAAATCATAACCAGTTGTACTTCAAGGAGCTGCTTTTGCAGCACTGAAAAGATGTATTTACGTTCTTTTTAGTGCAAGGCATACCTTAATCCAATTAAATTAGTTCATTAGTTCACCAGAAATAACAAGGAATCAATTTCAAGGTTTTCTCTAAACCAGTTAGAGAAGGTGATCTCTCAGCCGCTCAAAAAGTGCCCAGTGACAGATCTGATAAAGAGAAAACATCTGAACAGCGAGGATTTAAAGGACAACTGAAATATTGACTCCACCTGGAATTACAAGACTCAATTAAACAACTGCGACCTCAAATTAAAACTTTTAAGCCACAAATATTTTAAATCGTATGTTCCTTTGATCTTCCTTTGGAACTGGACTTTGTCCTTTTTCACAATGTTGTACATGTGCGCTAGTACATTAGACATTGCATCATTTTTACTTTTTCCAAAAGTTAGTAGATAATAAAATTGTTCATACTTTCACTCTGAGGATAAACCTTGAAATTGATTCCTTATTACTTCTGGTGAACTATTGAACTACATTTAATTGGACTGAGGAATGCCTTGCACTAAAAAGAACATAAACTTTGGTTGCAGCCAATTAAAGAGGTTTAAAAAGAGTGGAGCCAGTTCACACTTCCTCACCCATTTGTAACAAAATTGGTTTTCCAGGATAGAAACATGGAAAATAGGAGCAGGGCTAGGCACTTTGAGCCTCTCCACCATTCAGCATAATCATGGCTGATCATCCTATTTCAATACCCTGATCTCACTTTTCCAGCAAATTTCCCCCAAATCTTTTGATCCCTTTAGTCCCAAGAACTACATCTATATTTGTCTTGAAAATCTTCAATATTTTGGCCTCAACCGTTTCCTGTGGCTGAAAATTCCACAGGCATTCCTATAGTATCCACAAACCATAAAGAAATTGGAATGGGGAAGATATTCCTGGAGTGTATATGGGATGGTTTTCTTGACCAATATGTGGAGAAACCAACTAGAGAGGAGGCCATCTTAGACTGGGTGCTGAGAAATGAGAAGGGAATCATTGCCAATCTAGCTGTGTGAGACCCATTGGACTTACGAAGGGGAAATCATGCTTGACAAATCTGTTGGAATTGTATGAAGATGTAACTAGTCGAGTTGACAAGGGGAAGCCAGTCGATGTATATTTGGACTTTCAGAACGTGTTTGACAAAGTCCCACGTAACAGACTAATGTGCAAAATTAAAGCGCATAGGGTTGGGGGAAGTGTTTTGAGATAGATAGAAAACTGGTTGGCAGAGAGGAAACAAAGAGTAGGAATTAATGGGTCCTTTTCAAATTGGCAGGCAGTAACTAGTGGGGTGCCACAGGGATCGGTGCTGGGACCCAGCTATTCACAACAGATATTAATGATTTGGATGATGGAACAAAATGTAACATCTTAAAGTTTGCAGATGATACCAAGTTGGGTGGGAGGGTGAACTATGATGAGGATGCAGAGATCCTTCAGCATGATCTCGACAGGTTGGGTGAGATGGAGATGAGGAGACATTTCTTCACCCAAAGAGTGATGAGCCTGTGGAATTCATTACCACAGGAGGTAGTTGATGCTAAAATATTGAATCTATTCAAGAGGTGACTAGATACAGCACTTGGGGGCGAATAGGATCAAAGGTTATAGGGTGAAAGCAGGATTAGGCTATTGGGTTGGATGATCAGCCATGATCGTGAAGAATGGCAGAGCAGGCTCTAAGGGCCGAATGACCTCCTCCTGCTCCTATCTTCTATGTTTCTACGTTTTTATGTTTCTATTAATATAATGTTCCTTCAAAAGCTCTTTCTTAAAAAAAAAGACTGCAAGTATATTTTCTTGGGTCTATTATATTAAAGTGGTAAGATGTTTCTAAATGACATTAACAATCTTAGGATAGGACAAGGTAACTTATGAAAAATTAAAGGCACGATCCTTGAAAGGAGTAAAAATTAAAAGGAGTAACTAGGTATTTTGTGGTGGAGTTCTGCCTGAAAACCAGGAAAACAGAAATTGCAAAATGTGTGGCAAAACATCTAGAAGCTGGAAACTGATGAAATGGAAACAGTGATAGTTGGAAGTAGAAATCAAAGAAAGGAAAACGGGAGAGAAGCAGGAATGGGAAGAAAAAGGAATTTCAGGAAAGGTAAATGGAGAAGGAGGAGACAGGAAAAGGAAAGAAAATGGCAATTTCAGTTGAAACAACTTTATTAAATTGAAACAGAGGGGAGATGGGAGTGTCGTGATAATGTCACGAGATGATTAATCCAGAGGCCCACACTAATACTCTGCAGACATAGGATCAAATCTCTTTAAAGCAGTGAGTGGGATTTAAATTCAGTTAATTCAATCTCAGTAAATGGTGGCCATGAAACTATCATTTTCTGCTTAGGGATGCTGCACCCTTCTGGACTCAATATTGAGTTCAACAACTTTATGGCTTGAGTTCTCCAATATCATTACCCCAACCCCCACACATCAGGCCTTGTTATCACATAAAAAACCAAAAGAACTGCGGATGCTGTAAATCAGAAACAAAAGCAGAAGTTGCTGGAAAATCTCAACAGGTCTGGCAGCATCTGTGAAGAGAAATCAGAGTTAATGTTTTGTGGTCTGCTATTACACACAACCCACTGTCAGCCATTAACAGTCCCCATTAATAGCTGTTCACCCTTCTAGTCAGATCATTATCCACTCCTTTGTCTGTCCAACTATTGCTTTCTCTCTTTGAGCTCCATTCCTACTTATCGTTCACTCCTATCCTGCTCCCCCCACTCTTCTGCATATAAACTAACTACCATCAGTTCAGAGGAAGGGTCACCAGACCTGAAACATTAGGTCTGGTTTCTGTCCACAGATGCTGCCACACCTGCTGATTTCTGTTTTAGTTTATGTTTACAGCATCTGCAGTTCTTATGGTTTTTATGAAACTATCATCAGTTGTCGTTAAAAACCCATCAGGCTCATTCATGTCCTTTAGAGAAGGATATCTGCTGTCCTTAGTTAGGCTGGCCTACATGTAACTCCAGACTCACAGTAATGTGGTTGATTCTTTTAAATACCCTCTGAAATGGCCTTATAAGCCACTCATTAGGTAATTAGAAGTAAGCCACAAATGCTGGCCTTGACAGCAATGCTCACATCTCAAGAAAAAAATCAATTTTTAAAAGAAAGTTTACATCAAGAAGGAATTTCGGTATGCCCAGTGAAGGTACATCTGGTGAGGGAACCAGCCCTAACTCAGATTTAAGGTTGAAGAATGGTTAGCACAGTGGTTAAGAATGGACACTTGTTGTAGAGTAAGCTGACAGGAAAACCTCATGAAGAGCACATCTGGCTACGAGGCAACAAATGGGACTTTCTGGAGGACACTTTCATGAGTGTCCTGTCAAGGGCGATGTTTAAGTAGCTCTGGTGTTCTCAAGAATGGGGCTACAGGTCATAACAGAAGGTGAAGGGATTTACCTCACCAAGTGATGAACGCACCAACCAGTCAGGAATTGGAACTAGAAAGCATTCTGGTCAGATTACCAAAAACATCATCTGTGTGTTATTAATTCCAAAATCCCACAACCCATCTATTTATCTATTACTTATAATCTATAACTTAACTGTATTCATATATTCATATATTAAATACAATACTACAAAAAAGTTGCATAATATCCAAGTTATCCTAATTGTTTTCCCACCGCCCCTTATACCCATTAATGATACCTATACAAGTGTCCTTGTGCTGTCAGGGAGGCGATGGCCCAGTGGCATCATCGCTGAACTGTTAATCCAGAAACCAGACAACATTCTGGGGATAGTAGGAACTGCAGATGCTGGAGAATCCGAGACAACAAGGTGCTCTCTGCTCCTATGATGCTGCTTGGCCTGCTGTGTTCATCCAGCCTTGCACCTTGTTGTCTAACATTCTGGGGACCTGGGTTTGAATCCTACCATAGTAGATGGTGGAATTTGAATTCAATAAAATATCTGGAATGAAGATTCTAATGATGACCGTGAGTTGACTGTTGACTAAAACCCACCTGGTTCACTAATGCCCTTTAGGGAAGGAAACTACCATCCTTACCTGGTCTGGCCTACATGAGACTCCAGACCCACAGCAATGTGGTTGACTCTTAACTGCCCTCTGGGTAATTAGGGATGGGCAATAAATGCTACCTGGCCAGCAATGCCCTCATCCAGTGAATGAATAAAAAAATTCTAATTCGTGAGGTATTGCCTTAGAGTCCACTTGCTAACCAATCAACACCCTTTACTCATAGACAATAAATAGTTGCCGCATTTAAGATTTGGTATTCTTCTGTTTGTCTTGACCAGTGTAAGATGAAAAACTTCCACAGCATGTCTCATTATTTTCAGCAATTTTTGAATTCTGTAATACCAGACGACTATTGCCCAAACAACAAAAACAGAAATTGCTGGAAAAGCTCAGCAAGTCTGGCAGCATCTGTGGAGAGAAATCAGAGTTAACATTTTGGGTCAAGTGACCCTTCTTCAGAACTTAGCTGTTAAGTCTGATTTCTGTCCAAAGGTGCTGCTAGATCTGCTGAATGTTTCCAGCAATTTCTGTTTTTGTTTCTGGTTTCCAGCATCTGCAGTTCTTTTGGTTTTTATTGACTACTCCCTAACGCCGTTTTTATGTTGTTGAGATGCTAGTTTGATTGCTAAAAGTATTACTGTTTTGTTGGCTGTCTTTAGAACCTGCTTGAATAACAGTAATTTGCTATTTGTTTTCTGCAGGATTTGAATGACCTTCATAATCCTCCACTAGTGGCCTCTCCTGACAGGTACATACTCTGCTGTTCAACATTGTTGTGGTTACTTCTTTATGATTTTTCCAATTCATATCATGCTGGTAGAAACCCAAAAGTGAAATTCTGACACAACATTGTCTACTGTAAGCTGCAGCTCCGATGATCAACCAACTAAATGGTGTCTGTCAGTGGTACGAGTATCAGCCAGGGGTACCGGCTTCTGGTAGACGTCACCAGCAAGCACAGTATTTATCCTCTCTCCTCAGATGGTGCCAAAGCAGCTGAGTTTCTCCAGCATTATCTGTGTTTGTTTGTGTTGAGACAGGTTCAAGATTGGGAAGACACTGTCATCCACAGAGCAATACAGGTGCACAATTAAAGCCTTGTTCACATGTACACTGTACACGCTGTTCAGTCTCGCATCCTCTTACTTATCATTCAGCATAAAATTCACTGTTTCTACTCATTTAAACTGAAAGTAAAGCTTCCTCTGCACTATCCCCATCAAACACTCTGAAAGCTGGCACAGCACAGGGTTAGATAGAGTAGAGCTCCCACTACTCTTTTCACTGAAAGTAAAGATTCCTCTACACTGTCCCTATTCAAACACGCCCAACTGATCCAGTATCCACTGCCATTTGTGAAAGAGAGTTCCAAACTTCAACACCCTTTGTATGTAGAAGTACTTCCTGACATTGCACCTGAATGATTTGGCCCCAGACTTTAGACTGGGTTCTGACTTGAGTTCTGAGGAGGGGTCACCGGACCCGAAACGTTAACTCTGACTTTTTCTTCACAGATGCTGCCAGACCTGCTGAGCTTTTCCAGCAACTTCTATTTTTGTTTAGACTAAACCCCTTAGTTCCAGAATCCCCAATCAGTGGAAATAGTTTATCTATCCTGTCTTTTCTTGTTGTATCTTCAATCAGAATCATTCCTTAATCTTCTAAATTCTAGAGAAAACAGGCCTAATTTGTACATTCTCTCCTCAGCCTAATCTCTGAAGTCCAGATATCAGTCTTGTAAACCTATGTTGTTCTCCCTCCAAGGTCAATATATCCTTCCTAAGCTGTGGTGCCCAGATCTGCTCACAGAAGTCTAAGTGGGGTCTAAACAGGGTTTTGTTAAACTGCTGCATAACTTCTGCATCCTTATACTCCAGTCCTCTAGATATAAAGACCGGCATTCTATTAGCCTTTTTCATTATTTTCTACACCTGTTTGCGGCATTTTAAAGATATATGCACCTGAATCCCCAAGTCTCTTTGGACATCCACTGTGTTTCACTGCATACCATCTAGAAAGTACCCTTGTTTGTTCTAAAATGGATAACCTTGCACTTGCTTATATTGAACTCCATCTGCCACAGTTTTATCCATTCATCTATTCTATCTATTCACCTGTGTGCCTTTATACTTTTATACAATCATCTAAACTGTCTACAGTGCCACCTAAATTTGTGTCATCAGCAAATTTGGACATATGACTTTCTATGCTGTTATGCAAATCATTAATAATTAACATGAATAGTTGAGGCCCTAACACAGATCCTTGAGGGATACTGTTGTTCACATCCTGCCAATCTGAGTACCTACCCATTAACCCATTTTCTGTCACCTGTCATTCAGCTAATTTCCCAGCAATGTCAGTAATTTGCCCTCAATTCCATGGGCTTCTACCTTAGGTAACAGTCTCTTATGTGAGATTTGATCACAGGTCTATATGTTCCCATGAGGGTGAAGGGCAAGGTTGGTAGACGTAGGGAACCCTGGATTACAAGAGATATTGAGGCTCTGACCAGAAAAAAGGAGGGCGTGGCTGAGGAACAGGCAGTTGGGATCAAGAGCATGCCAGGAGTTTACTGAAGAAGGAAATCAGGAAGGAGAAAACGGAACATGAGATAGCTTTGGCTGAGAAGAATAGGGTGAATCCAAAAAGATTCTTTAAGTATGTTAAAGGAAAAAGAATAACTAGAGAGCGAATAGGACCCCTCAAGGACTAAAGTGGACATGTATGCGTGGAACCACAGGAGATGGGTGAGGTCCTCAATGAATATTTAGAACATAGAACAGTACGGCACAGTACAGGCCCTTCAGCCCACGATGTTGTGCCGACCTATTATCCTGCTATGATCAAACTATCCTGCATACCCTACATTTTACTATCCTCCATTTACCTAATCAAGAGTCGCTTAAAAGTCTCTAAAGTACCTGACTCCGCTACCACTGCCGGCAGCGCATTCCACACAGCCAGCACTCTTTCTCCTCTGTGTTTACCGTGGAGAAAGACACGAAGACTTGGGAACTTGGGGAAGTTAGTGGCGATATCTTAGGGACAGTCCATATCACTGCAGAGGAGGTGTTGGAAGTATTAGAATGTATGAAGGTGGATAAATCACTTGGTCCTGATCAGATATATCCAAGAACCCTGCAAGAGGCTAGAGAAGAAATTGCAGGGGCCCTGGCTGAGATATTTGCATCATCGTTAGCTATGGGTGAGGTTCCGGAAGATTGGAGGGTAGCGAATGTTGTGCTCTAATTCAAGAAGGGCTGCAAAGAAAAACCTGGGAATTATAGACCAGTAAATTTAACATCTGTGGTAGGTAAGTTACTTGATAAGATTCTAAGGGATAAGATATACATGCATTTAGAAAGACAGAGTTTGATTAGGAATAGTCAGCATGGTTTCGTGCTTGGGAGATCATGCCACACAAATTTGTCAGAGTTCTTTTATGAAGTGACCAGGAAGGTTGATGAGGGCAGGGCAGTACACGTAGTCTATATGGATTTCAGTAAGGCCTTTGATGAAGTTCCACGTGGTAGGCTGCTCTAGAAGGTTAGATCACATGGAATCCAGGGAAAGCTGGCAAGTTGGATACACAATTGGCTTTATGATAGGAAGCAGAGAGTAATAGTGGAAGGATGCTTGTTGGACCAGAGGCCTGTGAGTAGTGGTGTGCCTCAGGGGTCGGTGCTGGGCCCATTGCTGTTTGTTATCTATATCAATGATTTGGATGAGAATGTACATGGCATGATTAGTAAGTTTGCGGATGACACTAATGAAGGTGGTATCATGGACAGCGAGGAAGGTTATCAGAGATTACAGCAGGATCTTGATCAGCTGGGGAAGAAATGGCAAATGGAGTTTAATATAGATAAGTGTAAGGTGTTGCATTTTGGAAAGTCAAATCAAGATAGGAATTTCATGGTGAATGGAAGGGCCTTAAGGAGTGTAGTAGAGGGACCTTGGAGTTCAGGTACACAGGTCTCTAAAAGTTAGTCACAGGTAGAGAGGGCAGTGAAGGTGGCTTTTGGCACACTGGCCTTCATCAGGCAGGGCATTGAGTACAGAAGTTGGGAAGTTATGTTGCAGTTGTACAGGATGTTGGTGAGGCTGCACTTGGAGTATTGTGTTCAGTTTTGGTCACCTTGCATGAGGAAAGACTGCAGAAGAAATTTAGAAGGATGTTGCAAGGACTCAAGGGATTGAGTTACAGGGAGAGGTTGGACAAGCTAGGACTTTTTTCTTTAGAGCATAGGAGACTGAAGAAGGATCTTATAGAAGTGTATAAGATAATGAGAGGCATGGATATGGTGAATGCACTCAGTTTTTTTCCCAGGGTTGGGGAATCGAGGACTAGAGGGCATTAGTTTAAGGTAAGAGGGGAAGAATACATGGGAACCTGACAGGCGACTTTTTTTTATACAGAGGGTAGTACGTGTATGAAATGAGCTATAAACAGAAATGGTTGAGGCTGGTACGTTAACAACATTTAAAAGGCATTTGGACGAATACATTGATAGGAAAGGTTTGGAATGATACGGGCCAAGTGCAGGGAAATGAGGTTAATGTAGATGGACACTGTTTGGCATGGACAGTTTGGGCCGAAGGGCCTGTCTCCGTGCTGTAGGACTCTATGACTCTAAATGCCTCCTAGAAGTCCATATAAACAACATCCATAGACATTCGCTGTCTACTCCTTAGTCACATCTTCAAAAAAATCAGTGAGGTTTGTCACATGTGACCTGCTTGTCATGAATCTATGCTGGCTCTCCCCGATTAACTGAAAATTTTCAAGGTGTCTTCATTATAGACTTCAACAATTTTCTCACCACAAATGTTAGGCTAACTGATCTGTAATCCTTTGGTTTTCCTCTTTCAATCTACTTCAAAAAACACTCTCAGCTGTAGACTGTCAGGCCCTGTAGATTTGTTACTTTAATTCCAATAATTTCCTTGTTACCGATGTTGTATTTATGTGAATTCTATTCAGTCCCTGCCCCAATCCACCATTAATTTCCTCGGGACTTCTAGCGAACTATCCTCCTTTTCTACTGTGAATACTGAGGCAAAGTAACTGTTCAACATGGGAACCCTGCAGCCCAATGGTATCAATGTGGATTTCACAAGTTTCAAAATCTCCCCTCCCCCTACCGCATCCCAAAACCAGTCCAGCTCGTCCCTGCCTCCCTAACCTGTTCTTCCTCCCACCTATCCCCTCCTCCCACCTCAAGCCGCACCTCCATCTCCTACCGACCAACCTCATCCCGCCCCCTTGACCTGTCCGTCCTCCCTGGACTGACCTATCCCCTTCCTAACTCCCTACCTACACTCACCTTTACTGGCTCCATCCCCGCCTCTTCGACCTGTTTGTTTCCTCTCCACCTATCCTCTCCTCTATCCCTCTTCTATCCGCCTCCCACTCTCTCCCTATTTATTTCAAAACCCCCTTCCCCTCCCCCTTTTCTGATGAAGGGTCTAGGCCCAAAACGTCAGTCTCCCTGCTCCTATGATGCTGCTTGACCTGCTGTGTTCATCCAGCCCTGCACCTTGTTGTCTCTGTTCAACATGTCTGCCATTTCCCCAGAGTTATTGACAACATTCCCACTTTCAGTCCTTAGCAGGCCAATATTGCTGCTGGCCATCTGCTTTCCCTTTATGTAGCTATAACATTTCTTGTTGATTTTGATGTCTCGGATAAATTTCCCATCATAGCTCCTTTTAGTAGCTCTCATAAGCTGAGTTGTGGACCTT